CTAACAAAGATAAACAAGAAAAAGGACCAGGGATAAGATGATCAGTCCTTACCTAGAAAGACAAAGGAGATGGACATTGGAAGTAAGAGAAAAGAAGTAACAGGACAGGAGCCTACCACAGAGGGCATCTGAAAGACTCTACCTAGCAGTGTATCAAAGCAGATGCTGAGACTAATAACCAAACCTTCGGCAGAGTGCAGGGAATCATATAAAAGAAGGGGGAATTTTTTTTTAAAGTCTGCCATGGTACTTGAAAGAAATCTCTCATTTAAAGTCAGGGTACATTCAGGTACCTGTTACAATGTGGATTCTTTCTTATGAAAGGACAGGCTCTATGAATAATTTAATGTGTTGAAACAAATGTCCCTTTGATTTTTGTCCCTATAACTCTAGATGAATGATTATTTGTGTTTAATATACATAGTTCACTTTTGTTTGTTAACCTTGTGCCCTGTAACTTTACTGGATTTTCTTACTGACTTAAGTTTTTCTTATGACTAGAAGTATCATTTGATTTTTTTTTTCTATCAGAATACCATGTTGGCTAATGATAGGAAAGCATCATCAGCTATGATAAAAAGTTGGTGGAAAAATATTAAGGTGCTACTCTAGAACATTTCTGAGCTTTAGGATAAAATGTAGATAGAGATGAAAATTTACCAGAAAAAGGCAGCTTACATACATGTACATAAATGTCATAATCAGATACAGTATTCTGCACAACAAATATATAGTAATAAAAATTGTAGCCAATAATAAAGGAATAAAAACTGGAAGAGAATAGACTTTAAGAGTGTATAGTGTTACTTTCAGCAAACAGCAAATACATTCTTTTTTATGAACTTTTGAAAATTCTTTGAGATTGCAATTTAAGTATCACATTTATCCCTTCCCTTTCCTCCATCCCAACCCTCCACTGTCTTTCAAATTCACGGCATAATTTTTCATTAATTGGTACGGCATATATACATGTATATGTATTTGCATATGGATGTATATTTGTAAACATTACCTGCCTATTCTGTATAATGTTACTCACATGTATGCTTTCATTTTGATAGGGTATGGTTTTCTGTAGTGATCTCTGTCTGTTGAAAAGATGTTTCCTTAATAAGGGGTGAAGACTACACTTATTTGTGGGTATAAGCACAAATGTTTACAAATTGTTGTTAAGGATTATGTTGCTTTAGTAAGTTAATAGTTGCAGATTCTCCTCTCATGCAATGTTCCTCTCTTACATGCTTTCGTTTTCTATGACCACATTCTTACAAACTGCATGGTGACTTTGATTCTTTTTCACTGGATTTTAAGGTTTAGGAAGAGCAAAATCACACACATTTTTATACTGTCTATATTCCCAGTACCAAGTATGGCACCTGGAAAATGGTAGATGTTGAACAAATATTGGCCCAGTAAATATTTGACGATTATACCAAGCCAGGTTCTCAGAACCTAGAAGACTGAAAGGTACAGAAGATTAGGCCTATAACTTCAAGGAGTTTCGGAGTTAGTTACATAATGGGCAGGAGGACAAGAGCATAAATAACGCATGCATAAATAGCAAAAGGAAGAGGAAGTTAGGTTATTTTAAAACATTCCAAATGGGAGCCAAAGATGGCAGCTAGCATATCAATGTTGTTTTAAGCACAGAATGTTTCAGGAATAACAAGAAATGGGAGAAAGCTTCAGGCTAAGGCAGCATCACTACTACTGCTGAGTGTGAAAACTAAAATGGTGACCTGAAGAGAATGACTTCTATTGAAATTGAGCATTTGGCCTGGTAGAAAAATAGCAGATCAAGCTTTATAAAAGCACATGGCACTGTTATTAAGGTAACCATTGATTGCCAGGCTATACAGCTTCTGATTTATAGATATTATATAATTTTAAAGAGCTGACTTAGAAAAAAATAATAAAAGCCTTATGTAGAATGGAGCAGAATAAAAATGGATAAGAAAATTAAGTAATAAAGACTTAAACTAGAGTAGAAAATGCAAATTTTAAAATGGAGTGATAATAATGCCCTTGAAGACAATAGTCACTTGTTAAGTGATGTTTATTGAACATTTATTGGATACCTTGCAATGCACTAAATTTATTGCTTATATTAGCACAGAAAATTATCTACATTATATTTTGCTTAACAAATTTTTTCTTCAGATCTAGCAGTTTTGTTGCAAATTGCAGAATTTCCTTATTCTCAAAGGCTGAGTAATATTCAACTGTGTGCATGCACAGACATTTGTTTATATATTTATTGTTGATAGGTATAGAGCCATTAATTCTGTATGTTGTCTAAAAGAAATGATACTTAAATAAACACAGGAGTGAAGAGGTTTCGTCAAAATGCTTATTTCATTTCTTTTTGATATATAACACAGAGTAGGAATACTGAGTCATGTGATAGTTCTAGTTTTAATTTTTTAGAACCAGCAATCCTCTTTTTGCAATGTGAGATCAATTTATACTCCCCCCAATGAGGCAGGAAAAAAAATCGCTCTTTTCTCTATATCTTCATTACTACATGCCATCTTTTGAATTTTTGTAAAAGCTCTTTATAGTGGTGTGAGTGATATTTCATAGTAATTTATCATTTGCATTTTTTCTGGTGATTAGTGATATTTGTACCTCTTCATATATTTTTACCTGCTATTTATATTTTTCTGTCACCTAAACAAAATCACCACATGAGAGAAGATACCATTTATTTTCAGAGCTGGTCAGTTTGTTTTTATCTCTTTTAATATCAATGTTATTCTTTACATTAATATATCAATATTAAGTTCCTACATCTTACTTATTTGAGAAATTTCAAATATTTAACATCTTCAAGTTGAATGCTTTTTATATAAAGTGATATCCACATTTTTAGACAAAACATGGTATTTTCCTTACCAAGCAATTTACTTACCAGGCAAAACAACAATAATTCCTTCAAGGACTGAATCATGCACACTTCAAATCACATGGAGTTGATAATCCAATGCAGGATGTTTCATAATTCTCTTTTCATTTTTATTCTTTCCACGTATTTTTAAAGTCAGTTAAATCCTTCTAGATTTCAACAGCCTTGAGGCAACTATCCAAGTCCCTAAGCTAAAATTTGTTTACCTCAGATGAAGGGTCATGGACCCAGCTGAGTCAGCCTTTGGGGGATTTGATTCTCTGTTCTGGTGCTCTGCTCTCTTGTCTTGGATAATTAAGAGGTGACTAAATGGCCCATGAAAATGGAAATATTTAAAGAGAGGCTGGTTGCCCACTTATTTTCACATCTGGGAAGGATTTGAATCAAATCACTGGCCCCTAAGTGATGCTTCACGGACAAATGTAATGCTGACTATATCAGAATCATATGGAAAGCTTTTTTAAAATAGAAATTTCTGCCCTTACCTAAAACATGTTTAATCAAAATCTCTGAAGGAAACACCTGGAAAGCTGTATTAATTTTGTTGTTTTAAAGAAAAAGACTTCCGCACATGGGTCTGAAGATCTGTTAAGTTTGTGAAACAGAGGTGGAGATCAGAGTTTCCAAAGACTCAACTGAGTGTAATTGTTAAAATGCAGGTCCTGAGGGAGGGGCTGACATTCTTCTGAATTTCTAACAGGCTCCCAATTTGTTGGCTTAGACAATTTTAGTAACAAAATGCTAGATTATTTTTCAAGTTCCTTCTAGTTTTACTTTTCTGCACTTTATAGAACAGTGGTTCTCAGCTTTCCTAATCCTGTGACCCTTTAATACAGTTCTTCATGTTGTGGTCAACCCGGACCATAAAAGTATTTTTGTTGCTACTTTATAACTGTAATTTTGCTACTATTATAATTTGTAATGGAAATATCTGTTTCTGATGGTCTTAGGTAACCCTGTAAAAGGATTGTTCTATAACTGTTATAGAACCTGTAGCATATTAATCTTCACTTACATTAAAATTCTATTTAAACTAATGTATTTTTACACATAGCCTTTATTTCTCATTTTACCAATATACAATGGGTTCCGAACATGTCTAAACACAAATTCATCCCACCTTCTCCCTCACAACTTTATGTTATCTTCTGTTCCATAGGAGGAAATTCATGACTGACACTGTAAACCTTACCAAAAGTCTATGGATAGAAAGACCATCAACCCTAGAGGGGAATCTGCTCTGCTCTTTTGCTAAAACATGCTCATGTTGTCAAAATATCTTCTAAATTTTTATTTGTACTCACAGATCTGTGCTGTTCTCAATATTGGTCAGAAAGCTTCTTTTGGCAGTGGGAAGTAATTAATGCAGACTGACAAAAATGCTAAAAATAAGTGATTGTGACTTCTTAGCTCTATACAAGATATCTGTATCACCCATCCAGTGAGGCTCAAGAAATGTCATGGAAAAAGGAGAGTAAAGAGCTAGAGGATGGGGAGAATTTTTGTGAAATACTGTCTTCTGGATGTGACATGGTCATTAAACACAAGTTTTTCTCATTTAACAAATGCCAGATATAATGGACTTATTTTCTTTTACCTGCAGGTTTGTCTTCCCCCCCCCTCTTTTCTTCAGTTTTAATACAGATATGAATAAGTCTCAGAAAAAGACCCATGAAATTAAGTCATCATGGAATAGTGCCAGATCCAATCTACAGTGAAGAAAACCTTTCTTCTGTGGGAGCCAGACACAAAAAAAAAATAAAGAACATGAAATTTCCTTCCAAACACCTGCAAATTGATGACTATCATATGGAAATTTGACATAGTTCAGAATCCAATGAGAGACACGCAACTTCCATGATGTCCTGAAAAGGCTTACCACACAATAAACAAGTGGAGAAAGCTTTATCATCTTCTCATGTGTGCTTGCGCACTAGCTTTGTATAGTTATGTAGACAAATCTAAGACAAACATACAATCAGTTTTTCCCAAGTTCCCAAATCATACATAAGGGCAAACAATTGTGGCAAAAGGTTGTTTTATACTCTGCCTTTCTGAACTATTGACCAGTCCTGTTGTGGAAAGTACAGCAAGTACTTGTGGATTTCGATTTTGAATGAATGGTAAGCACTGACAGTTTCTCTAGAAATGATCATGATTGATAATTATACATGTAACAAGACAGATGGAGACAATACAGATTTCCGGTACTTCATTTATGCAGTGACATACACTGTTATTCTTGTGCCAGGTCTCATAGGGAACATATTAGCCTTGTGGGTATTTTATGGCTATATGAAAGAAACCAAAAGAGCTGTGGTATTTATGATAAATTTAGCCATTGCTGACTTATTACAAATTCTCTCTCTGCCACTGAGGATATTTTACTACTTGAACCATGACTGGCCATTTGGTCCTGGCCTCTGTATGTTTTGTTTCTACCTGAAATATGTTAATATGTATGCCAGCATCTACTTCTTGGTCTGTATCAGTGTGCGAAGATTTTGGTTTCTCATGTACCCCTTTCATTTCAATGACTGCAAGCAGAAATATGACTTATATATCAGCATTGTCGGATGGTTGATCATCTGCCTTGCCTGCCTACTCTTTCCTCTCCTCAGAACCAATGATGATACTCCAGGCAACAGAACCAAATGTTTTGTGGATCTTCCTACCAGGAATGTCAATCTGGCCCAATCTGTTGCCATGATAACTATTGGAGAGGTGGTTGGCTTTGTAACTCCTCTTATGATTATCCTATACTGTACCTGGAAGACAGCTTTATCATTGCGAAATAGATATCCCATTTCTCAACATCTTGGAGAGAAAAAGAAAGCCTTGAAGATGATTCTGACCTGTGCAGGGGTATTTCTAATTTGCTTTGCACCTTATCACTTCAGCTTTCCTTTAGATTTCCTGGTTAAGTCCAATGAAATTCAGAGCTGCTTAGCCAGGAGAGTGATTCTAATATTTCATTCTGTGGCCCTGTGTCTGGCAAGTCTGAATTCCTGCCTTGACCCAGTTATATATTATTTTACCACTAATGAATTCAGAAGACGCCTTTCAAGACAAGATTTGCCGGGTAGTATCCAACTCCATACCAAATCATACAAAATTGTGAGTAACCATGCCACGTCTACAATGGCAACTGAACTATGCTAAATAAAATGGCAATACTGAACTTGGACTGAAATGCAAGTACCAGAACACATTTTCAATACCCTATGAGCAAGACAGTACACACAGAAATTGTTCACAATCTTTCAGTGTGTTCTGTATTACTTGTGTGGGAAAGGCACATATTTATGACAAGTCCTATTTAGGCCGTTATGTTTCTATGTCATTGCTGGTGACAAATCCATGCAGCAATGTATGACCAAGTCTTTAAAATTTAAGTGGTTAAATTTTGACAACACTCTCCACACATATGCTCTTAGCTAGAGTCATCAGTTTTATTTGTGAACCTAAGTCACAAAGAAACTACTATTTCAAGCCCACCTTAAGCACTGATTTTTCTTACCTCAGATGCTGAATCAAAGGGAGTGCAATTATCTATTTGTAGTGGTGATCACAGTTTGCAATCCAACAACATATTTGGTTGTGTTTAGAGTGGGATGGACAATACCTATGTACAGATAACATTACAAATATAGGGTATTTTTTTTCTCTTCTAGTTGTTATTCCATTCAAGGATTTGGAAACTCCAATGCGTGGTTACTTCTGTTAGTTTCAGTATGAAACATGATCTGTCACATCTATTCCTTAAATGAAAATCTGAAATCAGGCTTTGTTATATTTAATCTAAGAGCAACAACCATTCATGACACATAATAATCCTCTGAGATTGCATAAAATGCTACATTGAATGTTCTCAGAGCAGGTAGTTTTCTCGAGTTAACCCAACATGACTCAAATGGCCTTTAGGCTTTAGAGAAAGGAAAGAGGTGACAATCACAGATGTCTCTCTTAAACTAGTTTCAAAGAACACACTTGGAAATGTATGAACCCGACTAGTTGAGAGATATTTTTTTCATCATATTTTAGAACTACAGTGAAGAAATCTGACAGGTTACTACCACACTTACTGAGCCTATTACACACTAAGAAAGAAACAGTGCATCAATTATTTACTAAGCTGAGGCAGAGTGAAAATATGAAGGAAAGGAAAGGAAATGTCTTAAATCACTATTGTCCTTCAAATATTCTCCGAGTGAAGTGATGCCTATCAGGGCTCTACCCAAGCCAGAGTAGGGCTTAAAGACATTTGTCATGTGGACATTCAAGTCTACTTTTATTTTTTTTCCATTAGTTAAGTTACATGATTATTACACCTACACAAATTACCTCTCAGAAACTGTTGAAAGTAATTCTTTCACCTTTTGAGAAGTGTTGACCATTCCAGCAGCCTTGGGCACTATTTACAAAAGCTTTACTACCTACTAAGTATTATTGAGCAGGAAAACTCTGTTATGTGGCTATAAATACTAGAATAGTCTGAAGCATGATATACATTATAAATAAGATTACTTTTTTAAATGTTTGATTAGACAATGGGAAGAGAACACTGTTCTTTATAATAAGAAAAATATCATGTAGTTTTAGGCATATAGTTAATGATACTATATGTTTTGAGATAAACTGGTTAAATCAACATGAATTATAACTTCTAATTCTACTGGACACCTTCTAAAGTTTTGTCTAAGCAAGTACTGATTATCCTTTTACAGTTTATAAAATAATAAGGGATTAGGAAAATGACGTTGTGCTGCTAGCAACAGTATATGTATGTATTTTCTGGTTATTCCTTGTAATGTACATATGTTTTGATATATTAAATAAGTATTACATTTTGTTTTCAAAAGAGAAACTATAAATGTGTGTGGTCTGTTTGTTTTAAAGTGATTTCTGTTTGACTATAATTTTGTATTGTAATGAGATCATAAATAATCATTTGTGAAACTATGAAACAAATGTGGGTGCTTGGACTAGAACTCACACTTAATATCTGTGCTTACTATTTTTGTAGCATGTATTACACCTCTTAATGTCACTTTGGAAAGTCACTGTTTGAACTTTTTATAACATTGATTTCATTATAATCATACCACTTTAAGGGAGAAGAACTATTTCCATGATATTATTGACCATTTTAGACTGTCTGAAAATACAGTTCATTGGTAAGATAGTCCTTCTACATCATTTAGGGGTAAGAAAAGTATCTAATGATTTTATGCTATTTATCTACCTAGACCTTCCTATGTAGGTTTGCATTCAGCTTCTGAATACTGAATCAGAATCAATTTTCTTATTCTTCATCTTCCTCTTCAAAATATTTGAGTTTTGTTCTATCTTCTTTGCTTTTTGATGAACTTACTCATAATAAGGTGCTAATTATTAATTTTAACTTCATATTAATTTCATCAAAAAAATACCTGAACTTCATACCTTAGGACTAGGCATTAGCATGAAGTGGTGGCATTCAATGGAGGCATTGCCAGCCCAGGGAGATGAGCTGGAAGGGAAGACACTGTAAAGAAAGTGATTCATAAAGCAATCTTTTCAAATAATGTATTACAAATGACCATATATTTTGCTTACTATTATAAAGATGCTAAATTCCAAGAAATACCTCCATAAACATGGATATATATTTTTCAGGTTTTTGCTTGATTTTTTTCTTTTTCCCTTTCTCTCTTCTAATGCTGGACATAATTTTCTGAGAAAATTTTAATGTATGAGATAAATAGTGTTTCAGCTACTACCAAGTAGCTACTGTTGTCTACTCTCTTTGGGAAGTATTTTCTTAAAATCTCTTATTTATCATTTTTTATTTTATAAGATTGAATACAAAGAGAATCTTAATTGTGGTAGTGTATAATTAAAGATAAATCATCTCATATTTCTTTTATAAAGTTAAATTTTAGTCTCAAAATTAAGCAAATTATTTTAATAAGAAAATTTGAATGCAGGTTGTTTTATGCTGTTAATAGTCTTCATTGTTGTTGCTTTTATTACTTTAATGAAATATGTTGTATGTTTTCATTGTCATGCAATAAAATAGCAAATCTTTTCAACCAGTAGTTCATGGAGAGCAGCCATTTTCCCTACATATTACATATCAAGCTACCATGCGTTGTCAGGATTCATCAATGAAACTCTTTACAACTCTGTAAATTTTACATCACCTTTTGAATTAACTTCCAAGAAACTGTGAAATGTTTTATCTGGATATTTACAGCTCTTATTTATCATATGAATTTTAATAATAAAGATTTTCTCTGTAATTAAATGGAAGTTTTCTGATTCTGGATGTCAATATATGATCATTTTTTTCAGGGAACTGATAAACTTGATGACTGTTAGTAGGGTCACATACATGGGCTTTTGTTTCTTAGGGTTTATTCTTCCTTTTAATCTATTGGAGTGGCAGATTCCATTCTCAAAGATGAAGATGGGTCGTTCCTTTAATGTGTTAGCCTACCTCAGTTCTCCTCTGTGCCTAATTTTGTTTTGTCTACTTTAGCAATTTGCTCCTCATTTTGTTTATATCCTTAGACTGTTTGTGAAGATTAAGTAGTTTCAGTAATACCAAAATTGTTTTGATACACATTTTAATTGTTGCATAAAGACATTTTTAGGATGTGGTGAAGAAAAGATTTTTTTAAGTGAAACATCTTATTTTTTGGTAGATCTGAAATCATGAAATTTGTAGGCAAATAGTGGGATCTAGAAAAGATCATTCTGAGTGAGGTATCCCAGAAGGAGAAAGACACACATGGTATATACTCACTCATATAGTCCTATAAGATATGATAAACATAATGAAATCTATACACCTATAGAAGATAAACAAGAAAGAAGACCCAGGGTAAGATGATCAATCCTCATTTAGAAAGACAAATGGAATGGGCATTGGATGTAGGAGAAAACAAGTAACAGGACAGGAGCCTACCACAAAGGGCTTCTGAAAGACTCTGAAAGGGGGTATGAGGAAACGAGGGAGGGAGGGTGAGGTTAGGAGGGAATGAGGGAGCAGGATACAGCTGGGATACTGTTAATAAAATGTAACTAATAATAAAAATAAAAAATAAAAAAAACAAAAAAAGAAAAAAATTAATTAGGGTTATAAGTTCATGACCTGCCCCATGCTTCAGGTATCCTCAAACAACTTAGAGAACTTTCCTGTGATCCTATGAAACCATACAAGAAGTAAATTCATTACATTAAAAACCATATTCTGCTCCTTGCCCCTTTCCAAGTCCACTGATTGGGGAGGACCTCCTCCTTTTTCATCTGACCCTGTTTTATCAGGTATCTTCAGGAATCGTTGTAAAGTCCTCCTCTGTGGCCTAACAGGACTGCTCCTCCCTTAGGGCGTGGGGACGTCAAAGAGCAAGTCATTGAGTTCCTGTTAGAAATAGTCCTTGTTCCCCTCACTATGGGAAACCAATTGGTCACTGAGCTACCACGGGCTACATCTGAGCAGAGGTTCTAGGTTATATCCATACATGGTCCTTGGTGGGAGGAGCGGGATACAGCTGGGATACAGAGTTAATAAAATGTATCTAATAAATAGATAGATAGATAGATAGATAGATAGATAGATAGATAGATAGATAGATAGATAAATAGTATTTTTTTTAAAGAGTAAAATTAAAAAAAAAACATATTCTGCTATGGTAATGGTAGAGGGAATGAAAGTGAGAGATAAACTTGTAGACAATGTAATATTCCTCAGTTTTTAAAGATGCGGTCTTCGTGGAGGAGAGATGATTTTATATGAGCAAACTTTCTTGAACTTCAAAGACCATTTCTTCAAAAGGACCTCATTAGCTCTATCTAATATTTAATTTGCCAAGACCACATTCTTCTTTATTGTTGACTATATTCATTTCTTTTCACATTTAACATATGACTCAACTATAGGCACAACAGACATTCAAGTCCTTGTACTTACCTTCTCGGGCATATTCAAAGAATAGCTGAGTAACTGTAAACAAGTCTTTATACTTGGTAATTTAATCACAGTGGTTTTTGTTTGTTTTTTCTCAGATGCTTTCCAGTTTTATTGGGGAACTTAATACTATGGTCAAGTTTTCAGATCTTATAATATTTCATATCCAAAATTTATAAGAATAACAAAAGTATTAAATGGAAATCAA